CTCTAACCAATGTAGGTACAGAGGGAAGGGAACATGTCTCTACACAGTAAAAGTCACTCATGACAAATTCACAGCCAACATAATACTCAGTGGTAAAAGCTGAAAGCCTTCTTGCTAAATTCAGGAAGAAGACAAGGATGCTCACTCTCACCACTTCTGTTCAATACAGTGTTGGAAGTTCTAGCCACAGCAACGAAATAGGAAATAAAATGTATCCAAACTGGAAGAGAAGAGGTAAAATTGTCATTAATTTCAGATGACCTGATGCTCCATATAGAGAACTCTAAAGACTCCACACAAAATCTATTATAGCTAATTAAGAAATCCAGCAAGGCAGCAGAACACAAGATTCATATACAGAATATGTTGCATTTCTTTACACAAGCAATGAAATATTAGAAAGAGAAAGTTAAAAATAATACTCCCTTTAAAATCATGTCAAAAAAATTACCTAGGAATAAACTTAACCAAGGCAGTAAAGTCCTATATGAAAACTATAAAGCATTGATAACATAAACTGAAGATGAGTCAGAGAAATGGAACGATATTCCATGTTCTTGGATTGGAAGAATTAATACTGTTAAAAAGGGCATCCCACTTCCAAAGCTATCTGTAGATTTAATGTGATCTCTATTAAAATAGGCAGATTTTTTTTTTTCACAGAACTAGAAGATATAATCGTAAAGTTTATACAGAACCACAAAGACCCAGAATCGCCAAAGCAATCCTGAGAGAAAATAACAAAGCTGGAGGCATAACCCTTCCAGATTTCAGACACTGTTACAAAGCTATAGTAATCAAAACAGCATGGTATTGGCACAAACAGGCATATAGAGAAGTGGTACAGAACAGAGAACCCAGAAATAAACCCACACACCTATGGTCAATTAACCCATGACAAAGGAGGCATGAATATACAGTGGAGAAAAGACAATCTCTTCAACAAATAGTGTTGGAAAAGCTGGACAACTACTTGTAAAATGATGAAGTTAGAACACTCCCTCACATCATATGCAAAAATAAGCTCAAAATGGTTCAAAGACATAAATATAAAACATGACACCATAAAACTCCTAGAAAAGAACACAGGCAAAACATTCTTGGAGGTAAATCATAGCTGTGTTTTCTTAGATCAGACTTTAAAGGCAAAAGAAATAAAAGCAAAAATAAATAAGTGGGACAGAACCACACTTAAAAGCTTTCACACAGCAAAGGGAACCAACAACAAAATGAACAAATGACCTGTAGAATGGGAGAAAATATTTGCAAATGCTATGACTGACAAGTGGTTAATATCCAAAATACACAAACATCTTATACAACTCAATACCAAAAAACAAACAATCCAAGTTTGGGCAAAAGACCTTAATAGACATTTCTCCAAAGATATTCAGATGGCTAATAGGCACATGAAAAGATGCTCAACATAGCTATTAGAGAAATGCAAATAAAAACCACAGTGAGGTATCACCTCACACTGGTCAGAATGACCATCATCAAAAAGTCCACAAATAGTAAATGCTGGAGAAGGTGTGGAGAAAAAACACCATGCTGTTGGTGGGAATGTAAACTGGAACAACCAATATGGAAAATGGCATGGAAGTTCCTTTTTTAACTAAAAACACAGCTACCATATGAACAAGCAATTCCACGCCTGGATATACATATACAGGAAAGACAAAAATTCTAATCCAAAAAGACATATTCACTCCGATGTTCACAGCACTGTTTACAACAGCAAAGACACAGAAACAGTCCAAGTGCCCATTGACAGATGATTGGTTTAAGAAGTGATATATGTGTATGTATGTGTATATATATATGTAATATATATATAATGGAATATCACTTGGCCATAAAAAAGAATGAAATATTACCTTCTGCAGCAACATATATGGACTTAGAGAATATCATACTAAGTGAAGTAAAGTCAGAGAAAGACAAATATTATATGAGATCACTTATATGTGCAATCTAAATAAAATATAAATGAACCTATATACAAAACATAAATAAACTCACAGACATAGAAATCAAATTTGTGGATAACTAAGGGAAATAGGGAGAGGGGGCAAATTAGGACTAAGGAATTAGCAGATACAAACCTCTATACACAAAATAGATAAGCTACAAGTGTTTACGCTATAGCACAGGGAACTATATTCTGTAACTTGTAATAACTTATAATGGAAAATAATATGAATATATGTAACTGAATGACTTTTGCTGTATCCCTGAAACTAACACAATATTGTATACCAACCATATTTCAATTAAAAAAATCATAGAAGGTCCAGATAATTTTATTTTTCACCATAGGGTGCTCTCTCCACAATTAAGCAAATGCAGTGAAATATCATCTTAATCCATTTAGAAATTTATTATGGACAAAACTAGATTCCAATACTTGTAATATTCAGCACATTTCTAATTTTTACTGCTTGAAGGGCATAAATCTCTCAGATTTTTTTTAATGGAACCCTGATAGGATTCTGACTACTGAGCCCCAGAGTAGTAAATTGTTTCCATCTCTCCTCTTTACAAGTTTCAGGCAATATATCCTTCCCCCAAGCAAATGTCCTGAATTCCTGACACATATTATTGTTGATGAATGCTCTCTCACTGGCCGGTCTTAGTTCCTAGGCATCAAGAAACTCTAGATACTTTACTCTGCATTTTAAAATGAAGCTTTTAGCTTAGCTTGCCTGCAGCTCCAGAACTTGTCTGGAAAAAAACATGTTTGAGTTTCTTCAAGTTTCTGAATTGCCACAACAGTCGCATTAAAATGCTGAAAGCTTAGGTGGTTACCCTCATCCCAGCAGAGTCCTGCTGCGTCAGCAAGACTAGTGCTCGGGTCGTGCCCCACACCAGGAGATGACTCAGGGGACTGGAAGGGGTCAGCGTACTTCTCCCCTCTCAAGAGTTAATCTCACCTCTGTTACTTCTATAGTTCTCTCATGCATTCAGAAATATGAAATTCACAGATTATCTTTTTATGTTAAGTTGTTGCCTTGGGAGCATCCACTGCATTCTACTTAGAAGCAGAAACCTACCATACTTTATCTAGAAGTAGAAAAAGCCCAGTTAAGAATCTTTTGGTTGCAAGTAGCAAGCAACCCAATGCAAACTGGCTTAGGAAACATGAATTTGTTTCACCCAACTGAATAGTTCATGCGTTAGGCTGGCTTCAGCTATAGGCAATCCACACTTTTTTTTTTTTTAAGTCTCATTAACTATAGTCAGTTATGTGCCCATTCCCATTTAATCATCACCCAAACTAAATGGCCTTAGAATAGGGGGGAATGCATGATTCCTGGGAGCAAAATCTGCATCGTGTTATTAGAAAAAATAAGCAGATTGTGGGCATTCAGAGCAACTGTGCACTATGCCCAACCGGTCTAGCTGTTATTCATCTACTTGTCTTCTCAAATGCCATAGATTCTACATGCCTTTCAGCACCGAAATGAATTCCCTTCCCTTGTGTATAAGCGGAAACCTTGTTCTCAGTACTTTTTTTGATATGCAAAGCACAAAAACCATGCTGGACCGCTAATAGATACTTAATACCCTGTGTCTGGGTTGGTTCTAGGAAAGTTATGTGTCTGTTTGTGTGTGCTAAGTCACTACAGTCGTGTCCGACTCTTCCCAACCCCATGGACTGCAGCCCTCCAGGCTCCCCTGTCCATGGGGATTCTCCAGGCAAGAACACTGTGTGGGTTGCCATGCCCTCCTCCAGGGGATCTTCCCGACCCAGGGATCGAACCCATGTGTCTGGCATCTCCTGAATTGGCAGGTGGGTTTTTTTTTTTTTTTACCACTAGTACCACCTGGGAGGCCTCCGAGGTGGGTCACCTGGCTGCATTTTACACTGCAGGTTAGCAACTGAAGGATTCGCTTCTCAATTTCCAACTCTAATCATGTGCTGATAAGCTCTATCCGAAGAAAGCACTTTAAAATAAGCTGTGGGCTACTGTTGTGCATTTTATACAGCGTTCTTTTAAGAAAAGCTAAGCATGACCTCGCTGCCTCGCTAGCCTCTGAGCCTCTTCCCTGGCATGGAGTCTGCCCTCAGGCCCACTCTGGGTGCGACATCGCAGGCCCCTTTCCCGCCTTCCAGGCGGCAATTACGGGAGCGCGGCGGTGCTGCTCTCCAAGACGAGGCTGTGCGGAACTGTGTCAGAGAGGCAGCCCATCTCCTCCCACCTGCTTCACGGGTCTCTCCCAACAAAGGAAATGGCTTGGAATTCTTTCTTTCACCTGCCTGCTGCCAGAAATTGCATAAAAGAGTCTACCCTTTGAGCCTGAGCTTGAAACGAGGAACCGACTTCAGTCAATGGAGGGTTGGGATTACCCGATCATGCTTTTTCCAGTAGGTGTGCAGATCCCACCGTGGCTGTGTGAACTAAAGGCATCTGAGAGAGAAGACCTAACGGAACTAATAAACGAGAACAGAGGCGTCATGTGATGACGTGGAGCAGTCACTGGGGTCAGAACCCTGGCTCTGCCGCTGGGTGGCCTTGGGCCTCCACGCCTAGATAGAGCCATCGTGACTAATCGGGCTAGCGCACGTGAAGGGCTTAGCACGGTGCAGGCATAGCTGTGAGTGTCGGGCATAGCTATGAGAGTCGGGCATAGCTATGAGAGTCGGGCATTGCTATGAGAGTCGGGCAGAGCTATGAGAGTCGGGCACAGCTATGAGAGTCGGGCACAGCTATGAGAGTCGGGCAGATGAGTCAAGAGGTGGGGATCTTGGCAGCAACAAACACACAGAGGTGAGACATAGCTCAGCACGGAAGGAAACTAAAAATCATTCGATGTTGCTCTCATAGGAATTTCAAAGTAGTCCTTGGCAAAGGAATTCTGCAGAAGTGGACAAAAGCAAAGTCGTGAGGTGCCTCTTTCGCTGGAAGAACTTTTGAGTTGTTTTCTGGACACAGTGAGGAGCCGCTGAAAGTCCTGAAGCAAGAAGTGACCCGGTCAGATTTGACCAAAGAGACAGGTTACAGAGTGGAGGCGACAAGCCCCGCGGCGAAGCTGCTGCTGTGCCCAGGCTGGAAGCCCGAGGCGTGAACGTTGCTGACGCACTGGGGGCCAGGGCTGCCGGCACTACCGCTGAGAGGAGACGAGGACAACGTCTGTCTAGGGAAGAGGAAGCGAAGCTTTTCCAGAAAAACCTTTAAAAGAAAACTCAAGGGAAACACTTAAAAGAAAGGTAAGGTATAAAAATGCAGTGACCGGTGACTCTACACAACACGCGTCTAGGGTAGTGGAGTCACACTAACCTCATGTCCTACCGAACGCTGAAGCCCCGGCAGCCTGCCTGACCCTGGGGCCGACTGCGGATGGCACTGCAGCCAGCGGGGGAGGCTCCCTCAGCGGCCTCCGTGTTTCTCCTCCTAAGATCCGTGGAGCAGGCCTTCAGGCCTCGGATCGCAGGGCGATGCTGTGTGTCCCTCTTTCCTGCGGCTGACAGTCCGGGTCCCAGGCTCGAAGCCCTCAGAGCAGAAAGCTGCCTCTCTCTCCTTCCCAGCACTTTTTTTGTGGACTTTAGGCCACTCTTCTTCATTTTTATACTGACTTCCAGCACCTGGCCTGATATCTTTCTTCAGAGTATAACTTCTAGGAGTTCTAATCAGAAAAGCTCTTCTTTGAGCCCTGACCAGTATCTTTTAATTCAGCAGTCTTTAAGAGAATCACAGTAAATGGCAGGGAGACAAGCTATACTCTTCAGTAGCACATGTTTTGCTCACTTATGGTCCTAAGCCGAGGTCCCACAAACTATAGCCCTCAGGCCAAATCTGGCCCACTGTTTGTTTTAATAAAGTTTTATTCGAACGCAGCCACACTCATTCACTCAAGCATTTCCTCAGTTGCATGTGCACTACTGTGGCTGAGTTGCCCGCACAAGTTGAGAACATGTGTCCCAAAACATTAAAATATTTACCATGTGGCCCTCCACAGAGGATGTGGGCTGACCGTCTTTCTAAACCATTCACAAGACTGACTTTTCTAAGTAGTGCTATTTATGCAGCAGTAAATGCCCATATGCTTAGGGTCTTTGGAACTCTCCCCAACTCCCCACCACAGCCACTATGTCCCAACCTCAGTGCTGGATTCTTACGTGAGGATAATCTTCAGCTTCACCAACTCCTCCCCACCCTATAATCCACCCTAGTGATCATCAGAACTCCATTAATAAATTCTACAAATTATCTGCACAAAATTACTTTTTTCCATATGGTATCAACTTTTAAAATCTTCCAGGCAGTAGGAAATGGAAGAGTACTGCATGGTTAGTGAAAGGCACTCAGTTGTGTCTGACTCTTTGCGACCCCATGGACTATATAGTCTATGGAATCTCCAGGCCAGAATACTGGAGTGGGTAGCCTCTCCCTTCTCCAGGGGATCTTCCCAACCCAGGGATGGAACCCAGGTCTCCTGCATTGCAGGCGGATTCTTTATCCGCTGAGACACTAGGGAAGACCACGGTGTGGTTAAGCCTCTAAGAAATCATGCAATTAGTTTTTCTCCTTTATTCTCTTTCTTACAAGACATAGCAGCAGAGAAAAAGACAGAGGAAGCAAAGTTGAAATCTTTCAGTAATACGTATTTCAGAAGATCAACTCATAACTAAAATTTAGCTGAACCACATATAAAGTGTCCTTGATTTTCCTGTAATACAGTAAGATAATTTACATCTGTTTTTACTTAAAGAACTGTTTTGTTAAGAGAATATGTCATTTAATATTAGCTTGGCCAAAACTTTCACTTAGGTTTTTCTGTAAGATGATATCAGTTCAGTTCAGTTCAGTCGCTCAGTCGAGTCCAACTCTCTGAGACCCCATGAACTGCAGCACGCCAGGCCTGTCCGCTACCAACTCCTGGAGTCTATCCAAACCCATGTCCCTTGAGTTGGTAATGCCATCCAACCATCTCATGCTCTGTCGTCCCCTTCTCCTCCCGCCTTCAATCTTTCCCAGCATCAGGGTCTTTTCCAGTGAGTCAGCTCTTCTCATCAGGTGGCCAAAGTACCTCAACATCAGTCCTTAAGTGAATATTCAGGACTGATCTCCTTTAGGGTGGACTGGTTGGACCTCCTTGCAGTCCAAGGGACTCTCAAGAGTCTTCTCCAACACCACAGTTCAAAAGCATCAATTCTTTGGCACTCAGCTTTCTTTATAGTCCAACTCTCACATCCACACATGACTACAGGGAAAACCATAGCTTTGACTAGACTGACCTCAGTTGGCAAAGTAATGCGTTTGCTTTTTAGCATGCAGTCTAGGCTGCTGATAGCTTTTCTTCCTTTAATTTCATGGTTGCAGTCATCATCTGCACTGATTTTGGAGCCCACAAAAATAAAGCCTCTCACTGTTTCCATTGTTTCCCCATCTATTTGCGATGAAATGATGGGACTGGATGCCATGATCTTAGTTTTCTAAATGCTGATTTTTAAGATAGTTTTTTCATTCTCCTCTTTCACTTTCATCAAGAGGTTCCTTAATTCTTCACTTTCTGCCATAAGCGTGGTGTCATCTGCATAATCTGAGGTTACTGATATCTCTCCTGGCAATCGTAATTCCAGATTGTGCTTCAGCCAGCCCAGCATTTAGAATGATGTACTCTGCATATGAGTTAAATAAGCAGGGTGACAATATACAGCCTTCACATACTCCTTTCCTGATTTGGAACCAGTCTGTTGTTCCATCTCCAGTTCTAATTGCTGCTTCCTGACCGGCATACAGATTTCTTAGGAGGCAGGTCAGGTGGTCTGGTATTCCCATCTCTTTCAGAATTTTCTACAGTTTGTTGCGATCCACACAGTCAAAGGCTTAGCATAGTCAATAAAGCAGATATATATGTTTTTCTGGAACTCTCTTGCTTTTTCAATGATCTAATGGATGTTGGCAATTTGATCTCTGGTTCCTCTACCTTTTCTAAAACCAGCTTGAACATCTCAAAGTTCACGGTTCACATACTGTCGAAGCCTGAATTGAAGAATTTTGAGCATTACTTTACTAGCGTGTGACATGAGTGCAATTGTGCAGTAGTTTGAACATTCTTTGGGATTGCCTTTCTTTGGGACTGGAATGAAAACTGACTTTTCCAGTCCTGTGGCCACTGCTGAGTTTTCCAAATTTGCTGGCATATTGAGTGCAGCACTTTCACAGCATCATCTTCTAGGATTTGAACTAGCTCAACTGGAATTCCATCACCTCCACTAGCTTTGTTCGTAGTGATGCTTCCTAAGGCCCACTTGACTTCACTTTCCAGGATGTCTGGCTCTAGGTGAGTGATCACACCTTTGTGATTATATAGGTCATGAAGATCTTTTTTGTACAGTTCTTCTGTGTATTCTTGCCACCTCTTCTTAATCTCTTCTGCTTCTGTTAGGTCCATAACACTTCTGTCCTCTATTTTGCCCATCTTTGCATGAAATCTTCCCCTGGCATCTCTAATTTTCTTGAAGAGATCTCTAGTCTTTCCCATTCTGTTGTTTTTCTCTATTTCTTTGCATTGATCACTGAGGAAGGCTTTCTTAACTCTCCTTGCTGTTCTTTGGAACTCTGCATGCAGATGGGTATATCTTTCCTTTTCTGCCTTGCTTTTAGCTTCTCTTCTTTTCTCAGCTATTTGTAAGGCCTCCTCAGACAACCAGTTTGCCTTGTTGCATTTACTTTTCTTGGAGATGGCCTTGATTACTGCCTTCTGTACAATGTCATGAACCTCCGTCCATAGTTCTTCAGGTCCAAACAAACCTCTTGGCTAACCTAATAATTAAGAACAACGACTTTTTCTACCTTTACTAAATCCACCTTTGTCACTCATTTGCTTACATCACTTCTTTGTACTTCAGTCTTCTCCCCTGTAAAGTGGGAATACTACTATTTATCTAATAGTGTTTTATAAGCTGAATGTATGCAAAATATTTAGAACAGCATTGTAAGATAAATGCTGTTTATTATATTTGTTTTTCTTTCCCACATTTTGTTTCCTTTATTCTCAAAATGATGAGCGTTTTCATTTAGCTAGGTTCTGAAAAGCTTTCCCTCTTTTCTCGCGCTGCTTCCCCCCACTTTATCTGCCTCACCAGCCACGCTGCACCCTCTCCCAACCCTTTCACACTTAGTGATGACCCAGCTCCCACTCTCGGCCACGGATCTCCCTCGAGTGGACTCGGGAGAGCAGGGGCCCAGCAGCCGAGGCCGCAGAGCAGCTGCGACTCGTGCAGAGCCCCTCCCCACCCGTGGGACGAGACACCGCCCCTCCTGCTCCAACATCTGTACGGAACACACTCGCTGATGCCTCACCAGGGGTGCCCGTGGGTGCCCACTGAAGGATGGGGCACGCAGCAGAGCGGCGGAGGCCGGGGAGGCAGAGAAGGGCGAGGCTGAGCGCTGCGCCGCCACCAGCCACTGTCCCCTGAGCTCACAGCCAGCGGCCAGTGCGGACAGTGACTGCACCGCAGGGACGCGGATTGTTGAGAGCAACAGCAGGCGGTGAAGACGGCCGCCGAGCAAAGGTCAGAGGAACGCGTTCTGAGAAGAAGGGCTCAGGGGCCAATCTTTTTTTCTTTAATTAACTTGTTTTAATTGGAGGCGAATTGCTTTACAATATTGTGGTGGCTTTTGCCATACACTGACACGAATCAGCCAGGGGTGCACATGTGTCCCCCATCCTAAGCCCCCTCCCACCTCCCTCCCCATCCCATCCCTCTGGGTTATCACAGTGCAGCAGCTGTGAGTGCCCTGCTTCATGCACCAAACTTGGTCATCTATTTCACATATGGTAATAAACATGTTTCAATGCTATTCTCTCAGATCATCCCACCCTCGCCTTCTCCCACAGAGTCCAAAAGTCTGTTCTTTACATCTGTGTCTCTTTTGCTGTCTCACATATAGGGTCATCATTACTGTCTTTCTAAATTCCACATATATGTGTTAATATACTGGATTGGTGTTTTTCTTTCTGACTTACCTCACTGTGTATAATAGGCTCCAGTTTCATCCATCTTATTAGAACTGATTCAAATGTATTCTTTTTAATGGCTGGGTAATATTCCATTGTGTATATGTACCACAGCTTTCTTATCCATTCATCTGCTGATGGACATCTAGGTTGCTTCCATGTCCTGGCTATTATAAACAGTGCTGCGATGAACATTGGGGTACAC